TACTACTACTACTACTACTACTACCACTGCTGCTACTATTACTGCTACTACTACTACTACTACTACTACTACTATTAGTACTACGACTACCACTACTACTACTACTACTGCTACTACTACTACTACTAGTACTGTTTCTACTCCTGCTGCTGCTACTGCAACTACTACGACTGCTGCAGGTACGATATCACCCGGTACATTCCGCAGCATCCGCCCTGCTCCGGATTGGACTGGTCGAAGCGTTTGGCCGGACGGAGATTTGAGGATTTCTTGGGTCAGGCCCCTTTGGTTCAACTCAGCAGTAGAGTAGGGTTTAGGGTTCGGGGTTTAGTAGAGCAGCTTACCTTTAACCATTTTTGGAGGGTACTATATTCCCTATGTAATCCCAAAGTTGAAGTTTTAGCTCCCCATGATACTGGACTAGGTTACAGCTTCGGCTTTGGGTTTTTAAGGGTTTAAAGGGTGTCTCGTGCTTTAGGGGTTGTGTTTTTTTACTCGGCCTTCAAGTTCGTGAAGGATTTCAGGGCTTCCGGATCAAGGTTGTCAGTTTAGGACTTCACGCGGGGCTTGCTTGTGTGATCTTGTGTGATAGGGTTGGGGTTTGAAGGGCGGTGGGATTCAAACATCTATCTGGTTCTGGTCTCCGGAAAGGGCTAGTGCTACGAATAAGTCATGCACGATGTTAGAACAGAAATAGTTAACATACTTTCCAATGTTTCCATGTCCAATCCATCTAATTAACTCGTAGAGTCAGACTAACTATTTAGAGACTGGTTCATAGGTTGGCACTGGGGCATGGTTGTATGTTTCTGCATTATTTCCCACTTGTAATTATGAGCCCCAAAGGAATCAAGATGTAGAAACACCCCAACGGGATATGCACCAAGGATTCCGCCACGTCCATCCACAAAGCCGAGACGACCCTATGACTTAAACCCAAACCCCGAATCCCAAACAAGCCTCGCCTCTGAAGCACCCCAAACCTTACACCATAATTAATCCCCAAACTTAAAACCTAAACCCTTACAGTGATAAACTGTGTGCTGCCGGCTTGCTCCGGATCGTAGGCCTTGATAGGGATCTCAGAAATTGCAAAACCCCTTTGGAGAAGCAGTGGTCCTTTGGTTTAAGCCGTTTGGGGATGCTGGGTTTCGGAATCAACTGCGGGGTTCAGGGTTGTGGGTGTCGGAAAGGGTTTGGCCCACAAGAGCCTTCGGAAATCCTGGCCACAGCTTAGATCATGGCATTGCAATAGCCTAACTGCTGAATCCGCTGAATCCTACGCGCAAGCCCTGCCAGAAGTCTTGGACTCGAAAGGCCCAAAACCTCCTACTCTCAGACGTGGGAGTCTCAGCCACCAATCCCTATAACGTGAAAGAACCCCAGCAGAATGCCATACCCGATAAGAAGCCTTTCGAACGCGAGCGCTGCAGTGTTGCTGAACTCTAATAAGTCCGAAGCCTTAAACCCCTAAACCTGTTAGTCCAAAATCCTAAGCCCTAAACCCTAAACCCTAAACCCTATAAACCCGAACACTTAAGAAAGGAGAGCCCAGCACCGTTGCCCAAGTTTCCAAACGGCTTGAGGATGCTTTTGGCCCCGCACACCTAGGCATCTTACTGCTTGGGAGGGTTCAGGGTGGGGGCGGGGTTAGGGTTTAGGTTTACTGCTATGAGCAGTTCGTCTTAAGCTTAGGGTCCGGGCAGTGCTATTCAGTTTGGTGCGCCAGTTTCTATACCGAACATGTTGGGTGTGGGGGCTGACCCAGCGACTCCAAAACCCTTTACTTTAATTATGAAGGAATATACCTCAAACTATAGGTATATATTCCTCAATTAAAGGGTTTGGATCCTCTGGGGACGGGTCTAGCCTTCCAGCAGTCAACTTCGCGGCTCGAATTTCACGACAAGCCTTCTGCCATTCTACCAGTATCCCTAATTCCAAAACTACAATTCCCCAATCCATAAACCTGACCAGAGCCCAAACCCTAAACTATAATTCGGGACATGTGTGGGTGCTCGTGTTCTCGCGGTGTCCTCAGCTACGAGCCTTGCAGCTTGCAGATCCTTGCATGGACACTGCGGTACTGCCATTCTCGGGTTTAGGGTGTAGGGTAGATGTTTATGTAGGCCTGCTACTAGGCACATCGCGCTAAAACACAGAACTGGTGACCAAGAATCGCGACTACACAAGCCCGGGAAGCTGTGGCACCCGTGAAGACCAGTGCTAGGGGTACACTTAGTACAGTCATCATCATCATCATCATCATCATCATCATCATCAGCATCATCATCATCATCATCATCACCATCACTATCATCACCACCACCATCACCATCATCATTGCCATCATCAACAGCATCACCACTGTCCTCATCTTCACCCTCAGCCGCATCACCTTAATCATCGTCAACAAAGACATCGTCACCACCATCGTCATCACCATAAGTAAGGTAACCACTCCTAGCACCAGCCTGGAGCATAGAGCTTCACCATCTTCATCATCGCAATCATCGTCGTCGCTAACATGACCGCCGATCGTGGCCACGGCCATCACCGTCATCCCCATGCCATCCTATAATCGCAATCGCAAGACTAAGTGTAAGGCCCCGCAGCTGACCAGACAAATTGATGCTACGTTAGGATTTAGGTCTAGGTTAGCAAAGAACGGTGCATGTGAGGCTGCGGCCCCGATGCCAACTGCAGCAGAGGAGTGAAGGCACGAAGGGAACCATGAACCCCGCGCCCTGACAGAGTGGCCTTGAAAATTGGACCAGGGTCGGGTGTATATCGTACTACAACTCCTCGGGGGCTACAGGTGGACAAGGTCACTACCTATTCCGACCACTGTAACGCCTCGGGTGTCATTCGACGCCTCCGCTCCAAAGATGGCGTGAGACCTGCAAGCTCTATCTTAGTTCTATCTGGGTTAACCAGCCAAAATTAGCATCCCTGAATAAACGAAGGAATCCAGACAGAAACCACCACTACTGGCTACTGTGCCATCCGTCCAGGGAGAATTGACCGCTTGGGGGTTTAGGTGTCTCGTATCTTATCGTCGGAGATTTCGGCTTGGCCTGTTTAGTTGGGGTTTCCGGCATCCCTCGAAGCTATGAACGTATAGACCTTACGGTCGGTGGGCATGAACTAGGGTTTAGGGTTTAGGGTTTCGGGTCATTCTTGAGCCACTGCAGCCGAACCTGCCAGGACCAAGACAGAATGCAGGGCCTAGGGTTGAATGGGCAGAGACCGCGAATAGTCTACAGAATCTAATCTGTTCTCCGATGAGGTAAGGACCAATGTGATGACATGCTGTACTGTACAGCCAAGGCTACGTCTCAGACATCTCCCCTGCAACTGCAACCCCCATAAGCCAATAACCTTCCGGAGCCTTGAACCCTATACCATGCCTAAGTTACAGGCTGAACTTGCAAAGATCCTGCAGCCCTATCGCATCGGCAAGCTGGCATCTTGGCTCGCACGTTCATCTAGAGCCAACCTCCTTGAGCTTTGAGTTCTAGACCGGCCGAGGTCTCTCGCCCAACATATGCCCTTCTTTCATAGACCTTTCGGCCGTAGTCTCTGTGAGTCACGATCCCGTGCATCGCTGGCCGTAGGCGCTGCACCCTATACTCGATACATTTGACACTCTAAGCCGTGAAATCCTAAATCCAAAAGCTTATAACCCCGAAACATCATGAACCCTAGCGCCGTAAAGCCCCATACAGCCCATGTGATATAGGAACCACTAAAGGACCCCTCAACACATCAAGCAAACAGATTGGGAGAGAGAGAGAGAGAGCAAGGGAGGGAGAGAAGAAGAACCAAACCAGTTTCTTACAGTCCTCCGGCATCTCAGTTGGAAATCCGCAGTGTGAGCTTGCCCACAATGGACCCCTTAAATTCTTGGACATGGGCTATCCTGCCGGCACCACATCTTATGGCCTCCAAGCACAGGCAGCGGCGTCATGATCGGGTTTAACTTTCTTCCGCAATCCAGGGCTTCGGCTTCAAGGTTATATACCTTTACCTCATAGCCTGACACCCTCCGTCCTTGACCCCGGAAACCCTTCTTGCAACGACCTCCCACAAGGCCCTAGTATGGATGCCAAGTTGTAAGATCCTTATGATAAAGACCCAGAGATTTTTGCAATGAAAGACCCTGGGTGACTCGCTATCCACCCTCCAACATGCAGATATGTTTTCATACGGGCCCCGAAAGACAGGACTCCTAGCTCATAGCATTCAAGGCTCCCCCGGTCCTATCGGATGCGGCTCGACAGTGGCCAGATGTCGTGGCCCGGCCATTTGGGTTTAGGGCTTTGGGTTTTCAATACTATAAGGGTTTTTGGTTTAGGGCTTGTTCGTCGAATTCACTGCAGGTCGGGGCTACGGCTAGGGACAGTTTGAGGCTTCTTGCATGCATGACCGGGCTCAGGGCCATGATCGAGATCTGTTACTTAGGGACCCTAAACACGAAGCCCTAAACGCTTGGAGCGGGATGCATTCGGGTGTGCTCTTCGCCGACCCGCTGGGCCACCTGGGATCCTAAACCCTGAAGCCTAAACCCTAAACCCCTAAACCCCTAAACCCCTAAACCCCTAAACCCCTAAACCCTAAACCCCTAAACCCTAAACCTACCTTCGAACCTGGACAAGCATCGCCTGCATCGTCCGAGTCGCGAGAGCCCGAACCTCAACCAGAAGTCTGACTGCACGAGAGTGCAAGCAGGTTTCTTCGTCTAATATATAGGGGCCTTAACAATCACCAATACTATCTTGGGGGTTCCTTATTATGATTCTAGTATAATATAGCCCAAAACCCTATCCTAGTTATTATGGCCCCTACATGAAGTGGCTTGGCAGGGGGTGGTCCGAATTTGAGACTCCTGTGGGGATTTAGATGAGGTTTCACTGCATGCCGCGATGTCTACTTCGGTATTCTTTCGGGTTTAGTGGTTTGGGGTTTAGGGTTTTAGGGTTTGGGGGATTAGGGAGTATTCTCGGCTTTTTGTTTCGCAGCTTGGCCGCGACAGTCTCAGCCGGGCCTTTGGAAGAATTCCACATCCAATAGGCTTGAGCCTTTGACCCGCGGAGCCCTTACCAGATCCCAAACAGCCCTAAACAGCACTTAGCGCATTCACACCCCAAACCCTGTATCCCCAAACCCAAAGCCCTGAGCCCCAAACCCAAAAGCCATCTGAAACCCTAAAGTTTAGGGTTTAGGGTTTAGGGTTTAGGGTGCCCTAAAGTTCAGAGGAGGGGATGGTGCCCAGGAGCCCGGCGCGGTGCGGCTGTGTCTGGAGCGCTCGGATGGCAGCTTGTTTGGCATCTTGGCACAATTGGCTCCAAAGTGGCTCCCCAAAAGGGCCTTTTTTGTTTTAGGTTCGGGTTTGGGGGTTGGGTTTGGGGTTTAGGGTTAGTCGTGTCGTAGCGCGGAGGCGACAGTCTTGTGACAAGGCTGTGTCGAGGGCAGGGCAGGGCAGCGGACAGTTTCAGCCCTTCGTTTCCGGCCTGGATAGTGCCCTATTAAGCATGAAGCTATTTGCGCCTTGGGTTCGGCGCCCAGCAAAGGAAGGCAGTCAAGACACTGGTTGACAAACCAAATTCCTTCGGCCCCCCCCCAGGCAACCCTAATATATAGAAGCCCAGAGAATTACCAATATTGTTCCTTCGATTTCCTTATTGTAAGCATACTCCAAGAAAGGAGCCCACAACCCTAGTCTAACCATCAAAGGCCCCTACGTTACAAGGATGCCTTGCTGATATTGGCCCGAAGGGGTTTAGGGTTTATAATGGGGTGCAGGAGTCGAACCTTGTGGTCCAGGCATGTGGTCTTACAGAGGTCCTCTGAGGATGTGTTGAGGTAAGTATTCTATAGGCTTGGATATAAGGGTGTTCTGCGGGCCGCGGGTGTTGTAGAGTCGTAGAAGGGTTTGCAGGTTTCATACATGTCGGTGTGCGTTCGCTAGGGCCCGAGGGTCATGTTACTTCGGCGCTGCTTCTTCAGCCCGCATTGTCTCCAAACATGCCGGCATGCACATGCAACGCATCGGAACAATGGCCCTCAAATGCAGAAGTGCTTCTTCCGGTAGACGTCCGAAGTGTCTCATGACATCCGTTAAATCGCCCTTCTTGAAGTCACCTGCCACGAAATTCCCAACTGCAAGGGCCGAGAAACTTGTAGACAGGAATCTTTACGGTTGCAGAGCTTCGGAAGGCCTTCAAGCCTTGTGCCTTGGACTTCCAAATGATTGGGCCAAGTAGAAGGTCTAGAGTTTAGGGGTTTGAGGTTTAGGGGTGAAAGGTTTAGGGTTTAGATTAAAGTTGAGTTCGGGGTGTAGGGGTTCAGGAGTTCAAGGTTTAGAGTCGGCTGTATAGGCTTTCGGGTCTCGGGTTTCGGGAAAGGCGTTCAGTGGAGGGCTGTTATTCTGTAGCCTCGGGTCTGGATGCCGTGAAGAAGTCGTGGTTGTGACCAACAAGCGATATGCCTCACCGACAAGTTGTCCGCGCAAGCTGGTGCACACATCCTCTGCAAACGCAAAATAAGACACAAACGGTAGGCCCTAAACCCCAAACCCGCATGATGGGGGTCACATCCGGGCCGGACGTCAGGTCCTCAGCAAGTCAAGCCTGAACCAGAAGCCACTCTGGGGTTCCTTTATAGGGACAGTTTTTTTTCGGATCCAGGTCCAGATTTGGCATAGAACTTTTTTTGTCGCTCCATCGGTTGCATCCTTCGAGTGGCGAGAAATTTCTGCAGTAACGGAGTCTTCACTGGAATCGGATGCAATCCAAGCCCGTGCTGAAAAGGGGTCTACATATGGAGGTTTCCAAAAAATAAGGGGTACCGTGTTTTGGGGTCCTTATAATACGTCTCCTACTATTTCGGGTACTAACTAAATTAGGGCCCCCGATTCCCGGAAACCCCCCATATAGTGTTGGGTGGACTCAATGAAGGGATCTCATGCCACAGAAGACTAAAATTAGCATGCCCGAGGTTTGGTTATGATTCAAAAACTACGATAGGAAGAGCAAAGCCGCTTCCCAGTAGATCCTCATGGGTTTAGGGTTTAGGGCATGTACAGGGAACCCTGAACCCAAACCCTCACAGATCCCTTACAAAGCCCTTATGACGCGTTCAAACCGATCTCACACCTGGCCTGTCGAGTGTCATACTCTTCCAGAGCCAACAAACCTAGGTATTTGGTATGGTGCAACTGTAGCGTTTACTTGTTTTGAGGCGAGTACGTGAGTGTTGCGTAGTGTGGGGCACTTTCACCCTATAATTAACCCCTGAGCCCTAAACCCTTGACTTTTGACCACTAAACCCTTAAGGAGACTGCAAGGCACAAAAACGGTGACCCACCAGTGCAGTACTTCGGGCAACGTGAACACCAAAGAGTGGATCTTGGGATCTATCAGGAAGGTTCAGGGTTTAAGCTTTAGGGTCTAAGAGTTTATAAGAGTTTAGGGTTAAGGATTCAAGAGTTTTGGAGTTTAGACTTATGGTTGTCAGGTCTAGTGTCGTGGGTGGTGGTAAGATTTCGGGCTTGCGGCTTAAGGGTTGAGTGGATCTTGGGACGGCGACACTCTTGCAAGGCTCTAGTTCGAAGAGCCATCCTGAATTCGTCTCTAGTCTACTTCTCCCCGAGCCTCCAATCCCGATGCCAGGAAGAACAATTCCTACACAGCTTTCTTCGAAGCCTTTCCCGTTGAATCGTCATGCCATCACAATCGTTTCCGATCATCTCCAATACAATTCTTGCCTCTCGCTACACAGTCTCTTGGTCTGGATCTTCAACAGCGACAATGCAACATAGGGTGTAACACCTTTCCACAGCAAGCATTCCACGTAGCAGATCTCTAGAAGCCCTCCTAGAATCTCTATAAACAATTGTCGCAAAGGTGGCAGTACTTACACAAACCATAGTAGTATACACCCCTACCATAAAAAAAAGACCTTCTACTATGTAGGCACTCAAGACCCTTAGCGTACAGAGCCTTAGATTTGTATCTTTGGCTTGGAGGGCTTTAGGATGGCAAGTGCTCCCAGCAGCCAAAACCCAATTCCAAACATTAAGCGTATATCCAAGCCTAAACCCGAACCGCATTGTGGGTTTTGAAGGTCTCGCTAGTAGGGCTCTGGGTGGGCTTTCTGCAGGTGGTTTCTTTCAGTCGAGGATGTTTCGCGGCGCGAAAGCCCTGTATGGCCCTAGTTTTGAAGCCAAGAAGACGCCTCCAATATGCGAGTCTTTGGCGCCTGAAGGTATATAGGACGAAACATAGCTGAAGCAGGGAAGTGGATGGCCAGCAGTTGCGGATCAGGACGGGTGTCCGCGTATCTGAACTTCTTCCGCGGATGGGGTCTCTTGCCACCGGTTCAGCCTCAACCCTAGACCCAGGGCCTCAAACTCTCAACTCTAAGCTGTTTTTCAAGCCCTTCGTGATGGAGGATGTAAGTGTCAACTTTTTATTGGGCCGCGGCTTCTTTTCAAGCCGTGCTGTGGTTTGTAGAGGCTTGCTAGGGTCTGATTAGGACATTTTGAGCCTAAACCCTAAACCCTAAACCCTAAACCCTAAACCCTAAACCCTAAACCCTTCCTGTAGTAGGAAGTTCTCCGGCTGCCGCGCTTGGCAGGAGGTAGCTTTGACGGCTCCGAGTTGTGTGGATTTCGGCTTAGGACTTCAGGCTTCAGGTTGGGTTTTAGTTTTAGGGTTTAGGATTTAGGGTTTAGGGTTTAGGGTTTAGGGTTTAGGGTTTAGGATTTGGAGTTTATAAGGTATTCCTTCATGCGTTTCGTACATGTCTGCAAAGAGCTGTGTGCATGGTTCTGGTTTGACTTTGTCTGAGCAAAACACTATCTCCAAAAGGTCCCACGCACTCTATCATATCCAAGGAAGGTTCCTTGAGCCCTCAACCCTATAAGGCATACATATACGGTATATGCGTATGTATGTGTATATATGTATGTGTACATGTATATGTACATGTCTATGTCTATGTCTACGTCTATGTCTACGTCTACGTCTATGTCTATGTCTATGTCTATGTCTATGTCTATGTCTATGTCTATGTCTATGTCTATGTCTATGTCTATGTGTGTATATGTATGTATATGTATGTGTATGTGTATGTGAATGTGTATGTGTATGTGTACGT